CTTTGTGTTCCAACTGGCTATTGTGGTGAGAGGAACAGCAAACTGTTTAGAATATTGGAGGTGAGACTCAGGCAACACAGCCAGTGGATAGGGACAGCTTCTGAGTGACAGATCAGGGAGCCAACTGATTTGGGAACATGTGGAATGTTCAGGAGAGTCCATGACCAAAACAGAATTATTATAGAGAGAGATAGTGTGTACGTTTTGGGTTATGGTACGTACTCTGATACAAATAGTTTTGCAGATTTCACTACCTTTTTGACCAGAATTGTTTTTATTGAATCGTATACCAGAGAATTTGGACAAAAATCAAAGATATCTTATAATTCATGTAGTAACTGCAACGAGAATTTTATTGGAAAATTATTGGAAACTTCCATCAACACCTTTGGAACATGATTTAATAGCAAAGATTATGGAAAGTGCGGAAATGGATAAATTGACCTCAGTGCTAAAAGGGCAAATGGAAGAAGACTTAGTTGGACTATGGACTCCATTCTATGATTGGATAAGAGAGAAATATAAAGATATGAACTTTTTAATAATATAATATTAAGACTCAATGAACTTTTAAATCTCACAGTTTATCTGTGTATAACATGAAATTATAAGTCGAGGAAAGTTACATGCAGAAAATTATTGCTTTTGCCCTTCCCCCTACCCCTTTTCACTTCCTCACCCCTCTGTATTTTAAAAACTTAATAAAAATTTATTTAAAAAGAGAGAGAGAAAACCATCAACATTTTTGGTAATCCATCTTTTCTGTGCAGGAAACGTGTCAATTCATTTACTTTTTTCACATGAAAAGATAAGTTTGCTGTCTGCCAAATCTGACAGTTGACCTATTGAGCTCAGTATTGTCTACTCTCTAGCTTACGTAAAGCCTTTTCCAACACCTGCTCTCTAAGATCTTTCACTGGATGTGATACAGGTTGACCCTGGGACTTCAGGAGTGCTAAATGAATGTTCTACTGCTCAGCTGCACTGTATAAATCTATGGTGCAGCCTCATTTGGAATCACCGCACCCTCAAAAATTATATTATTGCATTGGAAAAGGTGCAGAAAGGGTCAACTAAAAAATTTAAGGGGATGGAATGCCTTCCCTATGAAGAAAGGTTAAAGATGATAGGGCCCTTTAGCTTGGAGAAATGACAACTGAGGGGTGACATGATAGAGGTTTACAAATTTATGCACAGGATAGGCAGGCTTGAGAAAGAAGTACATTTCTTCCTTTCTCACAATACAAGAACTTGTGGGCACTCAATGAAATTAATGAGCAGTAAGTTTAGAATACATGAAAGGAAGCGCTTCACTCAAAGAGTAATTAACACATGGAATTAATTGCCACAGAAGGTGATGGTGGCTACAGGCACAGGCAGCTTTAAGAGGGGATTGGATAAACATATGGAGCAGAGTTCCATCAGTGGCTGTAAGCCACAACATATAGATCATGGTGTCTGGCGCTGTGATGCTTCTGTATTCTTGGTCCTTGGGAGGAAAACAGTAGGAGGACTTCTGGAGTTCTGGTCCCGCTGGTGGACCTCCTGATGGCACCTGGGTTTTGGCCACTGTGTGTCTGCCATTAAAATACTTGAAAGCAACAGCCTGACCCCTTTTCTGTCTGCAGCCATGTCATTTAAAGAAAATAAACATGTGTTAAATTATATATACCTCGTTCACACCTGACATTGGTAGCACTTGTGTATACTTTCCAGATATAAAACATAAAGTGAAATCTCACAGTTCTGTATGAAATTTTGATCCTTCCTCATCCATTGTACCTTGGCAAGAAATTCCCCCTCAGAAGAGGTGAAGGAATGAAGCATGAAATCATCTACCTCAGACCTCCACCCTGCACTTCAGCAAGAAATACCTGGTTAGATTGTGCCTCTGTGATACTGAACTCCTGAAGGACACAGCTCAAGAATGGTGCTGCCAGGGCCAGAGTTTGGGGCAGAAGTCCAGGGACCTGGTCCATGAGTTCAAAGTCCCTCCCCAGAAGCTGTCACTTAAATGAAGATCTGTAAAGGCCAGGGGAGGTCAGTACTGAAGCCCCAAGATGTGGGACAAGTTAAGAAGTCATGAAGGACATGTCAGGGTGCAGATACAAGGAAACAAGCTGGTTTGAGAGATTAATTCATACACCTCATGGCTAGCTATCCTAAGACAACTGTCAGCACTTTATGAACTATGGCAGTTTTCTTTGATTTGGTCCCAGAAAAGTGAAATGATCTAAGAAGCCACTCTCCAAGGAAAACGCACAATTACAAAAACATTCTGCTACCCATGGGTGGTATTACTACAAATCTGTTTATGTAGCCACCTAGAAACAATATCTTTGGAGGTATTAAATTGTGTACATGGATCCTGAATGATTGCATAACTACTAAGCAAGATATACTGCTGTTTTTATTCTTTCCACAGAGGGCATTTGTGGATAAAAGCCTTGAAAAGGCAAGAAAATAACTAGCAGAAGACAAACATAGGCCACTCTCATCTTGGTTGGCACAGCCTTCCAAAGGGCTCCCAGACACCTCTGCCACAATCAGGTGCACAAACTTGCCATCTTCTTACTGGCAGCTTAAGCCCCAAAGACAAGCGGTTGACTTTTAGGTAGCCTTCCCAACACTAGGAAAGCAAACCCAAAATATATACATAAAAGACAAGGGAAAGCAAATGTTTTAAAAGCTAGGTGTAGTTTTTGTTAAGTGCATGCAAATTTAGCAGCTCTCTTTCAGTCACGCTGTGACAGAGCTCTACAAGCTATTTTGAACAGGCTATGAGGAGGACACACAACTTAAGATTTTTTTTTTGTTAAAGACCTCTGACTATTTTGCTAGCACTTATTGAAAAGCTTGAATATTCAGCTTTGATAAAGTTGTGGGCAATAAAACCTGAGAGTGTGATTTATTCCATTTTCATTTTCAAGTTTGCCAAGCAATAACATGAATGGGAGAGACTAAAAGCGTAAGTTATATTTATTAAGTGCCTGGAGTTGTCCCAGGTGCTGTAAATGAAGTCAGGGGACATACCCTACCAAAGGCCTACTATAGCCTAGTAATATGAAGCACAGCGAACAGGGCAGGGCAGGGTTTGGGAAAGCCCATTGGTTTGTGCTGTGCTAGCCAAGCAGAACACAGTTTAATTCTGCCTCATCTGCAGGCACTGTGTCCAAGGCTACCAGATTCAGGTAAGGAAGAAGGCAGCCATAGAGAAGGGACAACTTTCAGCAAGTTTTGCTTCAATCATAGCACTGTGCTGAAGGAAAATACCACCTGCTGAAATTCCCTCTCCTGTACAGTAACTAGTTAAGAGTTCTCTCCCAGTATTTAACCTGGCAACTAGGATCTTACACAAAGTAGATTAACCGGAGCAATTGCAAGCAAGCAACGACAGCACAGCATTCTCACCCATATGTCTGAGTAGCCCATGAAGCCTCTTTGGTAAGCAAGGTGACATCCTCAGATACACAACCCCAAAATCTGAATTCTACCCACAGAGAAGGCACTCCATCCAAGCTGCTGCACTCAGCTGTTAGTTGCTCTCACGGTGTGCTTTCCATCCAGGCACTGCAAGACTCTGAACCCCCAGCAGAGCAGTATTCACAATGTATTTTCAACATGGCTCCTGTTGCTAAACAAGATCCCTGCTGGGTCTGTAATTTCTCCAGCACTGCTCAGCACACGAAAGCCTGCAGAATTCTCCTCTCACTATAATCTTCACAGCTACGCATGGGTGGCTTTCTCAAGGCTAGCCAGCAAGATTCAAGCTTTGAGAATTGGAAACCAAACCTACTATCAATCATCACACACTAATCAACCAGAAATGCTCTTTGGCAGGAGACAGTGGATCATCATAGAAGGGACTGATATGCCCAGATAGGAACAGTACAACATACCTGCTGGCAGTGATCTTTTTTTATAATTTCAGACATGCCCAAAACTGAAGACAGAATATGGTAGGAAGTGCAGCAGAAAGGACTTTAGAGATGTTTCCCCTCATTCCAGCTCACCCAACTGCCAGGTTTCCTCTCCCCCTTTTTTCATTACATTTTCATGCTGCCTTTTGTTTGTTTGTTTGTTTTGCTACAATGCCTGTGCATGCATAGTCTTTTAAACCCTTCTTGGCATGTTTTCATATTTTTCTGCAGACTTGGAGATTATCCAGGGTTTACCCCAGGTTTGAAGGAGCATACACCCCTAAACCTGGGTGATTCCCACTTGTGGTTCCCCCCCCCTCCTAATTTGCATGGAGGGGCCAATTCAGGTTTTAATTGAATAATTGAAAATTGAAATAATTGAAAATCACCACCTCTGCGAAACTGAAACACGTGTTACATTACTGTAACACACTGTAAACACGTGTTACATTACTGAACACCATAAAGTCATAGAGTCTACTACAATCCGTTCTTGAGGTCCATTGGCCTAAATGATCAACTCCAAACCTAGCAAGCAAGAGACAGTTGAGATCTTCACAAAATTTGTAAACCCACATAGTGTCCCCGCCCCCACTTCTGGAATCCAAAGTACAGGCTGAATGTTTTGAAGGGGGCTGCCTTTCCCATGTGACTTCAGCTATCACACGGATATCAACTATGAATCCGAAGGCCAGATCAGCTTTATTTTTAGGTGTACCGGTGGTGTACATTCTCTTCCCAGTGAATCTTTTTCCTGGAACTCGGAACTGAGTGAGGTGGAACGTGTGTGTGCAAGACGAGACTTCCGGCTTACATGACGTCACATGACAGCCGGGCTGGCAGCAGGAGGGAATGGGAGGGGGAGGGGGGGAAAGACAACAGATGCTTCCATCACTTTATCATTTTCTACTTTATTACTTCAAATTAACAACCACAATAAAGCTCAAAAAAGTCCAATATTTACACAGGAAAAAAGTACAAAATCCCCCCTCCCCAAAGTTCAAGGTTTTTTTTTCTGTTTTTTTAAGATTACAAAGTAATAAAAAGTTTTTTTACTTTAATTAAAAAAAAGGAGAGTGAGAGACACAGTAAGCGGGGTAAATAAATTAGGGGGGAAATAAAGAAGGAGCCACGTGTTAAATTAAAAAAAAAAAAGATTAAGAACCAAACTGTCAAGTTTCCCGCCTGCCCCTCCAAGGGTTCCACACTGTCCAAGGTCAGAAGTGGGTCAAGGTTTAAAAGCCAGAGGGCACGATGACAGCTGCAATTCAAGCCCATAAGGGTTCGGTTCTCTTGAGTCAAGCCTAAAATTTAGAGAGAACAGGGCAAAAAGGAAGGTGGGAGAGGCTTTTGACTGGGGGGGGGGGGGGGTAGGGCGTCTAAGCTGGGTTGTCCTTTTCATCTGTAGTGGAGGAAGCAACCTCTACAATAAAGTCAGCTTTTTACTCCCCCCTCGCCACCTCACTTTCTCGTACCCCTCCCTTTTCTTCAACACCCTCCCTGTCTTCTGGGCAAATAAAAACAATTAAAAAGAAATAACTAAACACACTCAAACAGATTGGAAAAAAAAGAAGACCCCCACTGCCTGCGTGAGAAGTGGGTCACATTTCTACATCCTTCACATTTGCTCAAGCCTTGCCATCTCCAGCCATGTGCATATCCTTCGACACACAATTGCTGCCGTGCCAGTATCATCTGCCTTACTGGTATATGCCCGCTGCATCTCCCAAGGTGCCCATCAATACACAGAGGGACAGCAGTGTCCCCCCAGGGAAAGAATGCAAACTGCAGGCTTCTCCCCACCATTTCTATCCCCTAAAAAAGCAGCGCCAGCTTGCTACCACAGTCTGTTTTGAAACTAACATTAAGCCAGCTACCGACACCACCAAGGGCTGGAATTTTAGATCTCCTGCAAATATCCTCCCCTCCCCTCTTTTTAAAAAAGAATCCCAAAAGAATTTTTAAATTCATGTTGGAAACCATCTTGATTTACACACGCCAAACTATTTTTTTTAAAAAAAGTAGTCCGGGAAGGGGTTTTTTTGGGTAAAGATACAAACAGCTTGAGACGGGAGTGGAAAGCCTGGGCACGGCTGGGCATGGCCTGCTGGCATGAGATGGGGGCGAGGCCTGGGGAGATAAAGCTGTACGGTAGCAGCAGAGGTGCTTCTGCAAGGCTCCTGCATCGGCGACTTGTCAAAGGCAAACTGGGCTTGGGAACACAGGCGGCGATCTCAGAAGGAAAGGGCATGAACACCAGCACAGGGGCAGTTCCTCTCCTCGTCGCTGGCCAAAATAAAGGTTGGGGTTTTTTCATTTTTTTTCTTTTTTTTAATTTTTGTTATTTTGTTTTTTAAAAGAAAAATACAGTGAAGACACTATAAAAAAGAAAAGAGAAAAAGAATGGTTATATTTTCCCTCTCAACGGCGTTCAGTGTCTATCTCCAACACTCTTTGCCCTTTCCACTTGTTTTAAGGAGGAGAGAACAGGGGACATGATCAGTGGACTGTACCCGTATTAAAATTTGGAATGGTGCACAGGATGCATTTCCCGATCCTTTTTCAATGCTGCAAGATATGCAATTACTATTCCAATTTAATGTCTCAGGAAATGGCCGAAATATGTATTACTTTGTTAACACAGGAAAGCTAGACTAGGGTTATGTGATACAGAGACACCCCATGCACACCATAGTTCAGCTTTTCTTGATATACTGAATTAATCAGATTTGCTTCTGTTTGTATAATTTCTTTTGCAAACTGAAGGCTACAAATGTCTTTGACAATCCCCCCCCCCCGCCAACAAGGGGCTGTAATTTCACCAGCCATTTCCTACAAGTTATCATGCACGCTTGGAATCTTAAGCATTAGACTCAGCTGGATGAAACAACAAGCAAATACACAAATGAAAAAGTCCCAGGATGCTGAATTCTGCACTTAGCCACTGAAGTTGTGAAGTAAAATCACAGAATCTGCAGAGTCCTACCAATGACAAGCACGGTTTACACCCTTCAAAGTCCACTGAAGTCAATGAGCTTAGAAGGGTGGAACTTTGTTTAGGATTACACTGTAAGGAACATAAGATGCGTGTCTCGCTATCATAGCCAACTCTGATATTAAAGGCTTGTCCTTCTATGCTTTTTCTGGTATTTTCTGCCAACAAGATTTTTAAAAAAATGTAACAGAGGTAGACATGGCTGAGAAAAATACTGCAATGCATAAAGTCAGCTAGGTCATCCATCTAACTCATGGGCACTCAATGAAATTGCTGAGCAGTCGGATTAAAACAGATAAAAGGAAGTACTTCTTCACCCAAAGAGTGATTAACACATGGAATTCACTGCCACAGGAGGTGGTGGCGGCTACAAGCATGGACAGCTTCAAGAGGAAATTAGATAAGCATATGGAGCTGAGGTCCATCAGTGGCTATTAGCCACACGGTATAGATAGGAACTCTCAGGTTGGGGCAAGTGATGCTCTGTATTTTTGGTGCTTGGGGGGGGGGGGCAACAGTGGGAGGCCCCACTGGTGGACCTCCTGATGGCACCTGGTATTTTTGGCCACTGTGTGACAGAGTGTTGGACTGGATGGGCCATTGGCCTGATCCAACATTGGCTTCTCTTATGTTCTTATGCTCATGTTCTTATGCTCATAGTATCTGAGCTAGGACCCAAAGCCAATGATCCAGCAACTATAGTACATTTTTTTTTTAAAGCAGCAGTTCACTCCTGAATTCACATTTGGAACAGAATGTTTTACTTGCACACTGTTTGCAGTGAGAACTAAGCCACTGCTCTTCCCGTCTGCTGCTCTGCCCCCACAGCCAAGGAGTAGCTACCTCCATATATTACATAAGGGAGATTGGAGGATGCGACTTTTGGAGAGAGGGCTCAGTCCAACTGCCTGCACTCCAGAGGACAGAAGTAGTCCCATCTACCAGAGAACCATCCACATGGCCTAATTCAAGAACATCTAATGAAACAACGGTGGTCAACAGCAAGATTGACAATGGCCTATGTATGCCCAGCAGTAGCTCCCATATGAATGCATCCCTTGGCAAGATCATCTGAATATGCCCAAGGTTGCACATTTCGCATGATTATAGGCTGTGTAATTGGCTGTTTGATGCATTAACCAAAGCAGGAGTGATTAGATCCCCAGACACAAAAAGCAAAGATTAATACAGGACAAGCAGCCATGGGGCAAGTTTAGAGCAGTTCACTGTCACTAACCATAGGCACAAAGCAATGTGCTGGGATAAAACACAGAGAGGAAGGGTGCAGACCCATGAAGATCTGCTTGTCAGATCAACACAGCAATCCTGGAAAGGTCAGTAAGGACAGGGGAAGGCGGCACTCACCTAAGCAAACACTGGTCCGGTGGCATCCTCTCTTCACTTTCCCAGGTGATCGAATGGCACACTTGTCTGGAAATTAGAACAGCCAGAGAAGTTAAGAGAAGGATTTTCACCCACAAGTGGTCAATGAGGGTATTAAGTAAGTAGCTCACATTATAGTAAAACATCTATGATGCAACAGGAATATGTTAATTCATTCCATATCAAACAGGAAGTAAAATATTCACTTCTACATTATACTCAAGTTTAACCTTTTCAGCAGATTCAAGAACAGTTCTGAACAGGTCAATGGGCTAAAGCCAGATACAGAAGGGACAGCAATGACAGGGACTGGCTTCTTCTAGATGCTTCGGCATGGGAGGAAGTCACATTCTTCCAATGTGTTTCTCCCTACCCTGGAAGCTCAAATGACAGCCATTCGTCATGGCCAGGAACACTTCCTACCAATACACCTATTCCAGTCACTATCCATTTCTGGCAACCATCGTTCATGGTTTTGTAACGTCAAGAATAATTTACAGCAGCTCATGGAGTTCCTTTGAAAGTTACCTGGAAATTTGCACTCATGCAACATGCAGCAGCCCACCTTCTGCTTCAGTAGGCCAACAGGAATACACAAAACACAATGCAACAAAGGCATCGGTTACCTATTAGTTCCCATTTGGAAAACAAGGTGCTGGTATGAATCTACAAAGTTCTCAAAGGCATGAGCACTGCGTATATTTATGATGCCCTCCACCCACAATCCTCCTCTTCACCCAAGACTACTGGAGAAACCTTCCAGGTACCATCAACTAATGTAGTCGGCTCAAGCAAAATACAAGTGGAACCTCTTCTGCTCTGGCCCCAATGCTATGACTCCCCTTCCTCAAAGAAGTCTGCCTTTTAGGAAATACTGTGCTGTTCAGAGAGGCCTCTTGTGACTTGCAGGTAGCACCTGTGAATTAATACATAAGGTAGTGTCTTTTAAAATGGATTCATTAAGTGTTTTGGGAACTGCTGCTAGTCACCATTCTGGTTCTCTCCCTAACCCCTAAAAAAAGACTAACACGGTTTTGTTTCTGAACACACAAAATCCCACAGGACCACAACGTTAACTGCCCAGCTGGCTTTATTTGGGAGCTTTGTACTTTTCTGGTCACCCAGTCCTCTGACAAAATTCCCTGCTGCTTAGAAAATGACAGTGCCTTATGCAACAGGGGAGCTCACACATGAGAGAATTCAGACAAATGAATTCTTCTTATTCTGGCACCTGAGCAGTACTGCAGGGCAGATAGCATCACTATTCTATTTGTCGTGCTGAGCTGGCAGAATTTTTACATTCTCCACAGTGGGAACTTGCTAACTGCTCCCCCGATGGCAACCCCCCCCCCCCCCCCCCCTCCTTATGAGCACCAGAAATTTCTTAGGCAGACCCACACAGAAGCAAGAGTAAGCACTTGAAGCAATCCAACGGGCACTGGTCAATGTTCCCTCTAAGCTATGGAGTCTTGTGAGCAAAAATTCTACTTTGTGAGCTACTGGCATTAAAGTTGTGAGCGAGCGATTTGGCTACTGTATGAATTAGTTTGCTCTGGAGCCATCCCTTCCTGAGCTAAAACAAAAATGTGTGAGCTGGAGGCTAAAAAACTGTGAGCTAGCTCACACTAACTCAGCTTAGAGGGAACACTGGCACTGGTACATCCTGGCGGGGCCGGACTATAGTTCACTGAATGTGATGGCTAATCCAGTGCCAAACACAGTCTGCCTGGGCTCCCATTCGCCAGAAGGAACTCACCTGTGACGCTGAAATCCGTGACACCTCTTGCCGTCCTGTGAGGTCAGATGAGGAGATGTTGGCAGGGGCTCCTCGGTGTAACCTCATGCTGACTTTCCGCTCCCTGTCCACCCGTGAGATTGCTCTGGGGGATGTATTTCCTAATTGGGGGAAGAGAAGGAATTAATGGTGGTTTACAAGGCAATATTAACAAAGCAAAAACTCCCCCCCCCTCAAGTTTACAATCTAAATTTCAACACTTGGACAGATAAGAGTGAAGGAATGAAGAGGCAACAGGGGGGGGGGGATACGGGAAAAAGGAAAGGTCACTTATACTTGGGCTGCCTTTTGGTTGGGTATGAGGCTGTGAGGTGTGAGATTCCTGTGCCTGACCCTGCTTGTGCTGCTTCTTAGGTTAATGGCTACTCACCAGACTGCTGGATGCGGGAGGTGGGCGTGGAGGCCATAGGCTCAGCAACATTACGGAGGCGGTTTGCTGTGGCCCCGGCAGGAGGGCCGGGGGGCAGTGCCCGTGTAGCAGAACCTCTGAGCTGCCCCATCCTCTCCTCTCGCTCGTGTTCTCGCCTCTCCCGATCCATGTCCTCAGGATTCCGGGCTGCCCCCTGAAACACCAAACATCCCCACAATGCACTCAGACCACAGTACTGGAAGGGCTCTTGTTATCCAGACCAACTTGCCTGGGTTTTGGAGGGCAACAAGCGAGGCCTTCCTGCACCTACACTAGTCAGTTTCTCTCCCCCAGATGGTGTGATTAACACAATTCTTTAAAATGCCTTTTGGCTTAAATTGAAGATGTTCTTAATCAGAAGGTCTTTGAATGAAGTTGTTTTGCTTGAGGTTTTAAAATTTTGGAGTGTCGGTGCTCTTAGCTAACTGTATAGCAATACGTTTTTATTGATTAACTTCTGAGAGTCCTGCTTTTGAAGCAGAAAGGTGGCCAATAAATTAATTAAGTAAGACTTCAGAAGCAGGCAAAAGGCACCATCACTTTCCTCACACCTCCCCATGGCATTACCGGCAACAAGCTAGATATAGTCACAGAAATGAAAGAACGAAGTTCTGTATGATTCAACCAGCAGATGATACAATTTCCATACATTAATTTATTATGCACAGTTTACGGTGTTCCTTACTAGAAAAAACAGGATCAATTTAGATGTAGGGATAGTCCAGGACCCTTTGTAAATAAACAGCTTTCATTTTTAAAAAAGTGAAATTAGTCTCTAAACTTTCTTAACTGCACTAAGAGGGAAAGCAAGCAGCCACCAATTCTACACAACTGCCTAGTAAAGGGTCTCGCTGTCTGTCTCTCTCTCTTGTTCCCCCTCTATTCTTCTTCTACAGTTTTGGCTGATGAGCACCAAGGCACTGAGATGACTGACAATGACTGATATTTGGTATTTTATTTTAACAACAAAAAAAGCACATTGCATTAAAATTTAAGTAAGTTCAATAAACTTTAAAGCATGGAAGGTTTTAGGGTTTTGCTCTTTTGCACTGACTGGGGCTTGATTTAAACATGCTGTTGGAGGGGGCAAAAATCCTGCAGGACTTTGAACAAGAGCTGTGCCAAGTACAAAGTGGGCTGCTACCTGAGCAAAGCAGCTATGTGGCATACTTTTATTTATTTATTTATTTATTATTCACATTTCTATACCGCCCTCCCCGGAGGCTCAGGGCGGCTTACAGGGCATATTGCCGAATAAAACAGTAAAACAGAACAAAATATTAAATTACAGCCCCATCAAAAAAGATTTTTCTGCTCCTCTCAGCAAATTTCCAATCTCCAAATTACAATTTCTAATAGCAAGATGACTGTCCCCTAACCGTCCCGTTCTCACCCATAGTGCAGCGATTATGGGGCCTAAATGTGCGTGCCCCCATCCTGATGTCCATATATGGGGGATAGATGGTAAACTAGTGCGATGGTAGTGCACTAGTGGTGGCGGCTCCTATTCAAAAGCCTGGCGGAAGAGCTCCGTCTTGCAGGCCCTGCGGAACTGTGCTAGGTCCCGCAGAGCCCTGATCTCCTCTGGGAGCTCGTTCCACCAGATAGGAGCCGCCACCGAGAACGCCCTATTCCTGGTCATGGTGAGTCTAATAGAACTTAGCCATTGCACAGGTGACATCAGACCAATTTAAATGAGGCGCCGCGTGAGCACAAACGCCCAGAGAGTACCTCTGCCTTACTAGCAGCTCAGGTAGATCCAGCTGTTCCATAGTGCACCAGAGCACCCTTTGGTCCCTTTCACCACGATATTGCTGGCTATGAACTAGTAAGGGCTATGCAGAACATAGGAAGCCCTATTCATCCCTGCACTGCCTTCCAAGACATTACCAGGCCCTCTCCTGCTTCTCAAGCTTGCTTCCGCAGCCAATATGACTAGACACTTGCTTATAAAAACCTAGAAGCCAAGACCTGGCACCCAGTGACACATTAAACATTTCATATTTGTAGAATGCAAAGTGTAGAAGTAGGGTTGCCAAATGTTACCTACCTTGCCGGCGGGGGACTCTTGTGCGACTCCCAATGTGCGCGCACGCGCCGCATGCACGTCACAGGGAAGTGACGTCATGACGCCGGGCACGCTGGGGGCGGGGCCGCGACCATACAAGGGAAAACCATAGAATTTTCCCTTGTATGGCCGTGGCCCCGCCCCCAGCGTGCCCGGCGTCATAATGTCACTTCCCTGTGACATGCACGCTGGGGCGGGGTTCCCCCCGGGGCCCGATTCCCCAGCGTCGGGGAACGGGCCTCTGGGGCAGGGGGATTTCCGCCCCCACGGGGATTTGGCAGCCCTATGTAGAAGTGAGCACGTGCATCCCCTTCTGGGTCCAGGACTATGCAGACTGCAGCAGTCATGATTGTCCCCCTCACCCCATTCCCAACTACTTGCAGCTCACCAGCATGCAGACTCTCAATTACTCACAAATTTGAGCATGTTCCAGTCAAACACATAGTCATAGGAGAAGCCCTGACGGTGGAAGAGGTTGCGAAACAGTTGCCTCAGGTAGGAGTAGTCTGGTTTGTCGTCGAACCGCAGTGAACGGCAGAAGTTGAGGTATGTAGAAAACTCAGCTGGGGAATGACGGAGATATGGGTCACTTCTTCTCAAGCACAGTTTCACTTTCATGAGGTGTTGCTATTCACAATTTTGCCCAAGGCTTCACATTAAAACTAGGATCACAGAATCACAGAGTTGGAAGGGACCTCCAGGGTCACTAGTCCAACCCCCTGCACAATGCAGGAAATTCACAAATACCCCCCCCACACACACACACACTGAGCTCTGTTCCATTCCCAGAAGATGACAAAAAACCTCCAGGATCCCCAGCCACACTGGCCAGGAGAATTCCTGACCTCAAAGTGGCAATCAGCATTTCCCTGGCCATGTAAGAAGGGGCCATGTGAACTAAGCACTGATGCAATCCGTCCTGCCCTCCCTCTCATGATCTGCCGAAGTTCACAGAATCAGAATTGCTGTCAGATGGCCATCTAGCCCCTGTTTAAAAACCTCCAAAGGAGGAGAGCCCACCACTTCCCGAGGAGATCACAACAATGTCGCTACATTCCAGAGAACCACTGCAGCAAAACAGAGATATGTGTGCATGCACACAATAATGCTGCTCATTCAGGCTTCTTCGGTAAATCTCAGATTTTCATCTCAGAGTTTCCCAAACAAGAAACAGCAGGTCATGGAAAAGAGGGCAGAAACATCCTACTGCCCTCTTTTCCATGACCTGCTGTTTCTTGTTCGGGAAAATCTGAGATGAAAATCTGAGATTTACCGAAGAAGCCTGAATGAGCAGCAGAGGGCAGAAACATCTACTGCCTTGAATGTAGATACAGGGCTGAGTGAAGAAAAGCAGCATTTCACCCCAAAAACTCATACAGGAGAGTTTTGGAACAGAAGGATACATTAACTGAACCCTAACTGAACCCCAACACCGGCATCCCACCCAAGTCATCTTGGGTATGACACCACAGGCAACGCAAACACAAACACCCTAATCCCACCCCTTCAGGAACATCTGCAGCAGGGCGGCATTATGACTTGCATGGGCCGTAGGCACTGTTGCTTTCATGGGCCCCTCCTACTGTAATAATACCAATATCTAAATTATTTTCGATATAATTTTAAATACTTCAACTCTTTTTTCTGTTTTAGTCAAAATTTAATAGATTCATGGGCCCTAAACATTTTATTTCCCCCCCCCTGAAGTGAGAAAAAAATTAAAACATTTTCTTCGACCCTAAAAGTTATTTTTCCCCCTTCTGATTTTAAAAGAAATTAAAACATTTTCATGGGCCCCGTGCCTAATACCTAAGTCAGCTCTGATCTGGAGGCTTACTCAGCTCAAAGGCCTTCTGCGCAATGACAGCTGGTGCCCGACTCTCCCCATCCCTCCTCCTCCTATTCCGTCACCACAAAACCCTGAGATTGTGGGGCCCACACGACCCTCCCCATCCCACTGTGCTCCTCGAGTCAAGGCCAAAGTCTCGCAGGCAGGCCTGTGGCCCCTCCAACAGCAATGCCCCATCTCTTTTTAAAACTGAGAACTACAGTCTCGGCTCCAGCACAGCTTGTTTTATTGATTTATTTATTTTTCGCATTTATACCCCGCCCTCCCTGATGGGCTCAGGGCGGCTTTATATCCCGCTTTTCTCCTTGAGTGGGGACCCAAAGCAACTAGCTCCTCCTTTCTCAAATACAGCTCAAGATGTTGCGTCTTGGCTTTGAGTCTGCATACTGACCACTGTGGGAATCTAGCACTGATGCCAAAGGGCAACATCTATTTCTTCTGCAAAACATCTACCCACTACCAGTGGAGGACGTTGCTCAGTTAAGCACTATGGCTTTGTAATGCATTCAGGTACATTCATATTCAGGTCGCTTTCTGCGGGGTGAAATGCCTTCCCATCAGACAACCTGAAGCTTCCCCTTCCACTACAGACCCATCCATGCAGCCCCTCGCGTACTGTTTGCACGGGTCTCCTGTTTGCAGGCCACAGAATTTCAGTGGGACTCATCAGCAGGTGGCTGGGGAAGTGGAAGTAGTCCCATTTCACAAGCTTTGGGCTTCCCATTTTATCTCTAGAGAGTACAGTACAGCCTCTACTGTATGCACATAAGGGCCCCTGAAGTCAAGTGGCCTTGTTCCACGTATTTCTGTAGACTGCTTCACCCAGTGGGACAATGGTGCCGAATGCCCCTGGTTGAATTCCTGATTGTTCACTGAATATTTTGCATTCAAAGGGACAACCTTCTTCTGAGTTGTCTCCAGTAGCTGAGTACTGCAACATTAGAGGAGAGTATGTCTATGCAAAACTGAGCTTGTTCATATACACACATACACACAAAAATAAGAACTTACAAGGGTACCCTTTGCAGAGCACCTCAATAGGCGTTGACATCTTTTTCTCACTGATGCGTTCATATTTCTGGCGCTTTGTGGCAGCCTTCAGACCTTGCCAAGGCAGTGAGCCGAGATTGAAGTACATCAGCACGTAGCCCAAGCTCTCCAAGTCATCACGGCGACTTTGCTCTGGAAAGAGTTGCATACATGGGCGTAAGAAGAGTTGTTCCAGCAACAGCTTATATAATGTTAGGAAAACAAGAAGGTGAAACTAGATATCAGGGCCTCTCCATGGCTTCAGTGACGCTGAATCCAACACAATACTTGGCAGAGCAGGTCAAATGCCAAGAATCCATGTATCCATGTGTGTGTGTTACAACACACACAGTTTTAGCTTTATGACTGCAGAGGAAGGAGAACAGGAAAATCCCGTCCGGTTCTCGTCTGGCTACAGTGGTTTCAGCAGATGCTGCCTGCATGAATGTGTAGGCAACATATGCTGAAACCAATGTAGCCAGAGGAGAACTAAACAGGATTTCCTGTTGTCAAGGAAAGGGTTCAGGGCTTGGCTAGATCCTCCCCTCACTCCAGGACTAGCAGAAGCCAAATGAATTATGCAAAGAAAACAAACATGCAAATCAAACCTAGATACAAATTGTAGATTTCAGCTTCAGTACAAGATTTAAACACAGAGAGAAAGAGACACTTCCCAAAGTGAAATATATGTTCCTTTTGCTATTAGATCAGAAGGAAGAGAGATGGAATGTATTCATTTAGCACAGAGTCTCCTCTCAGCCACGTCTGTTTATGACTGCTGCTTCTCCTTTGCAACAACCTCAGCCTATTTCCCCTAATCTACAATACAATAGCAGAATTCAGTTTTAGAAGACACCTGAAGTCAGAACAAGAAGTATTTAATACTTAAGCATAAGCCTGAAAAAACAACAAGTAAGTGCGATACCAACAAGTACTGTTAAATCCAATTCCATCAGGTTTCAGCATGCTTAATACTACAGGTAAGTGGCCCTAGTACTTGGCTTCCAGCACACCTGACCAAAAAGTTTGTTTACAGTGCTTGTCTTCCCATCCATTAGCTTGGTTCCCGACTACATGGATGGAAGGAGGAGGATAGTGGGTTTACGAAAGTGCAACTTCTCCACCTTCTCCCCCTCCCTCTATAGCCCGGAATTCCCCATGGAATGCTGCTCCTGAGGGACAGGGGACCCCCCAAGAAAAGCTTGAGAGGAAACTGGAGTTCTGCCACCGGAAGGGGGGATCGGTGAAAATCACACACCCAGAGCAGGTGAATCCAACGTTCTAATGCCCATGCCATTTTATTACTGGGATCACATTCTCAGGAAAAGTAGGGAAGGAGGTTAGAGAGCTCTCAAAACTTTAGACCAAGCCCTGGGCTTCCTCACATGGAAGAAGGGCCTCCAGCCTGGGGGAGGCAGAATGCCTGGTACACAGTGCTTAAGCAATACTCACCCCATTGCCAGTTTGAAAAAGGAACACGTGTACACACATTTTCACACACGGTACGCCTGTATACATTTTTCTGGTCATCCCCAAGCAGCTATACAGCAAGTTACAACGAATCTTGATAGAATTTTATTCTCAATATTTGCATGACAAGTTTAGCCAGGCAGCTGCAATGGCCCAAGCAGGCTTGCAAATACGAAGCTGTGTTATAGTGAATCAGACCACTGGTCTATAGAGGTCATTATTTTCTGCTTCAACTAGCAGCAGCATTCTGGGGTCTCAAGCAGAGGTCTGTCTTTCACATCACCTCCACTACTTTCCCCACAAAACCTCTTAGCTGCTCGCTGGATCATGGCCTCATGAAGTTTTGGAAGCCTGGCAATGCCATGAACAAATGTGAGCTGCCGCCGCCAAACAGCAGCGACTGCTATTACAAAGGTTGGGGTGAGATGCAGCGGGGGGTGGGAGTGTTGAACCCCTCCCCAAACAGCTCTTATGCCTAAAACCAATGGCTGTTCCCTCACCAGCCCAGTTCCAATCTCTGTCTTGTACTAAGAGAAAAGGAGAGGGGGGGGGGAGAAGCAGCAGACAGGGAAAGTTCAGAATTTCTCTTTTCTCTTGCTCCCCGCTGCCCTGATTCTGTGCTGGATATGGTCTCCCCACCATCACTATTGTTTGCCAGTGACCTCATTTTCAAAGAAGGGGCTGCTGGCCATCCAATGCTGACGTGCCTCTATTCCTCTGCATGGCATGCCCAACTTCTTCCTACTATTTCAGTGGGTAAGGCAAACACAGCATGCAGCAGATCTGAGGATCCCACATTCAGACAAAGCACTGGTCATTTAAAAAAAAAACCTTCATTCATACATTGCCTTTCTCCCCAGTGGGAACCCAAAGCTGTTTACATTGTTCTCCTATTTATCATTATAGCAACCCTGTGAAGTCAGTTCGGCTGAGAGTGCGTCACTGGCCTTAGGTCACCCAGGAGCTTCCCTGGCAGAGTGGGGATTCGAATCTGGGACTCCAAGATCCTAGTCCAACACTCTTTAACTACTACACCACACTGCCAGATGATAAGTGGCAACCCAACTCTGGGACTGTACCAGCAGTACCGTTTTAATTTTACTGGTAGCTTTTAAAAAAGAGAAGGGAGAAAGAAGATTGGGGGGGGGAGGGTCGTCAGGAGAGACCTGTATACATGGGTTTCTTCTCTCTGTTCCCATACAATTAGTTTTGACTCCTGAATGGCAAGCAGAAAACCCTTAGCGATAATGGAGATTGGGATGTGGAATGGTTTAGTATAGCCTGATCTCATCAGATCTCGGAAGCTAAGCAGGGTCACAGGACTTGGATGGGAGACCACCAAGGAAGACCACAGAGGAAGGCAATGGCAAACCACCTCTGCTTAGTCACTTGCCCTCAAAACACTATGGGGTCACCATACGTCACCTGCAACTTGACAGCACTTTACACACAAACACACACACACACACACACAGAGGTAAGGGCGATTAGCACTGCCACTCACAACTAATGAAACTGAGCAATGCTGTATTTTACATTTCTCTCCCCCCCCACCCCTTGCACTGAGTTATTTTGAGGCATTTGCCTCATTCTGAGAGTGATCAATGCCTTTATTTTGGCATGAGATCTGCTAACTGTACCAGAAAGTACGAGGGGCTTTGGAAGCCTGCTGTGTGCTTCCAGACAGCTTTGAGGAAGGGGAAATCACTTGCAAGCATGTGAGAACTAGTATATATTTATGCCCTCCTCCAGCATTCAGACAGAATCTGTTACAGGCCCACTCTTGGACCCCTCGGTGTGTCTATTTCAGATCTCTCAAGGGTGCAGGATATGCTGGAAGTCATCTTCAGAGCATGTGAAAACTGAATGGAATGCATGAATCAAGAGCCTGCTTCTCCTCCCAGGAACCAATCCTGCAGGGTCCAGCTGAAGGGCCCCTCCCAGACTTCCTTTCCTCTCCTCCCCACCTTCTTTCATATAGGGTTTGAATGAATACACATCCTGTGTTTCCTCTGGACATAATCCTTGCACTATACATTCAAATTAAGGCTCTTCTAATTGAGGATACCACAGTCAAATAAGTCCAAAACAACACAGCTCTCCTCCTTCTCTTCTCTAAAATTAAATGCAAGAACTAAATAATGCATCCCAGACAGAAAACGGACTAGTTCATTAAAAGCAGGGTTAAAACTGGACAGCCCAAACGAAGCCAGCCAGCCAGCCAGGAGACCTGGGGGTTTCCTGATTGCAGAATGTGATATTTTAAGCACAGAACTCCAGACTCTGAATAATTGCAAACTTTTGTCAGCCAGCCAATTACCAGCTCTTGTAGCTTCCCAAGCTTCTAATTACAGCTCTTGCCTTGACTTCTCAGGCCTTGTCTAAACCAAACTGCTCAAGCTATTTCTCTTTAAAAGGTTCCAGCACTATAGGATTGATGGTAACAGCTCACAGGGCTGTCCAACGGATAGCAATATATGAATGGCATCTTGTATCTGGCCAGAGCTGAAATGGTGGTAAGTCTGTCCGAGCAGTTTTCAACTCTGGGGAAGGCTTGTGTAGTTTCCCTATTGAAGCTACCTGTACAGTGCTTCCACACAGAAGGTTTCCACACATTTTCCCTGTCCCAGTCACCTCACAGCCCCCCCCCCATAACTGATGCTTTTTCAGATTCCTTTAGATCAATAATTGAATCTGTGTTAATAAGAAGAGAAGAAATTGGATTTATACCCTGCCCTTCACTACCCAAAGGTGTCTCAGAGCAGCTTACAAACTCCTTTCCCTTCCCCTCGCCACAACAGACACCCTGTGAGGTAGGTGGGGATGAGAGAGCTCTTGACAGAAACTGCCCTTTTTCAAGAACAGCTCTTATCAGAACTACAGCTTGCCCAAGGTCATCCAGCCAGGTGCAAGTGGAGGAGTGGGGAATCAAAACCGGTTCTCCCAGATTAGAGTCCGCGCACTTAACCACTACACCAAACTGATTAACCGATTCTCTTGATTTCCCAGTTGTCATTTTAAAAACAGTAAAGCTGGGAGTTCAGAGACCCTGATACACAGATTTTTATAACAATACTACTCCATAGCTCGTTAAAAAGAACCCACCTGAAGTGGCAGGGGAAAATGGCCATTGCAAGGGACCAGGGCAGGAAAAAGGGTGCCGATCCAGACTTTCCCATTCCCATGGGGGCAACCTTGGCTTTTCTGCCATCTTTCCAAAAACATCGCAGCAAAGCAGGTTTGGGGAAGATCACAGAAAAGAGGAGGAAGAACCGGGAGGTACACGGAAACACCATGATGCTGTGGAGAAGCAGGAAAAATACCTGCTTTGCAACAGTACCCAAAGCTAGGGCAAACAAATGGGAGTTTAAGCAATCCTAAACAGATCACACAGTACGTGCAGGTGATAGGGCTGCATGGCACAAAATGGTTTTACAAACTTGCTTGGATAAATGATTAAGAACTGTGGTCTGTACTGCTGTGTTTAGCTTATTGTAAGTAGGATCCTATTTGTGTCATTTCTGTACCGCATCATGTGTCATGTGAATACTTATGCTATGCCTCTGTAGTTTCTGGTGGTTCCAGACTTCTAAAATCCTCATGCACTGGCTACTGAATGTCCCAATTTGGTGACTGTACAGGCTCCCTATCTGTAATGCACCTTCAGCCCCTGTGAAAGAGAT